AGCTTTATATACGAACACCGGAAGTTGGAGCGGGGTGACGGAAGAGGAAAATAATTTCATCCCGGTTCTTTTCAAAAATGTATTGTGGTAATAATTTTTTAAAAAATTGCATTGCTGGTACTCGTATTTTTTTATATTGTATTCTAAATTGATATATATATATATATATATATATATATATATATAGTACTTAGTGGAAAGTACACAATATCAGTGATAGAGCTAACATATTCAGTTGCATTGTCACAAACTCATATATATATATATATATATATATATATATATATATATATATATATTATTATTATTTATATTTACTGTGTATATGTGTTTCGTAGACATAACTGATTTTATTTTGGATTTTTAACAGTGAAATTAACATCTAAATCGCTATATAATATTTGCTGTTTTTTAATCCATAATGTTGAATGTGTTAAATTATTAACAAAAAATCCGAAGATGAGGTCAAAAATTGCCGCGAAACATTGTCGATTTATTTAAGATGGAATGATGTATAATGATGTGTCTCTAATTTATATTTAGAGACATTTTATTTGTTTTCAATGTTTCTAGTTGAATTGTTCACTTATATTGCATATGATCCATTTTTGTACATAATTACTTTGCAATAAAATTTGTATTTATATGAATACTAATCAAAATTGTGATATGGTAGAGGCCCCATATCATAGATTCGGTCTGGGGGAGATCCTTACACAACAGACTATAGAAGAGTTACAAATTTTCTCGGATTTTGACGTGGGGTTCTTTTTTTACGTCCAAATCCGTGAATTTGTTTTGCTTTCGAAAAAAACTACCTTTTATACTCGAATATACTGCGAGTTTTTCTGATCAGTTTTCTTTTACCTTTTTTTATACGCAAAAATTGGAGGTTCGCACTATACACTGGTAATCTTTTTGAAGGGGTTAAAAGTTAGGCATATTCTGTGACTGGTTGCATTATACACAGATCATTTTATCTGGAAAGGTTAAAATTCATGTAAAAAATATTCAGGGATCGCACTTATACATGAGTTCGTTAATACACGGTATAAAAATTTCATTATTTTTTTATCCATAATGTTGAACGGGTTTAATTCGGCAATTTTTTAATAAGAAAAACTTCAAGTCGATGTTATAAAATTCCGCAAAACATTGTTGATTTGTTTAAGATGGAATGGTCTATGATGACATATATCTAGTTTGTATTTAGATACATCGTATTTATTTTCAATTTTTCTAGTTTAATTGTCCACCAATATTTTTTCTAGTTACATTTATAAATTAAACTAAGCATAACTGACTATTAAATGATGAAAAAATTTCGCAGATTTTCACGTCATTCTGGGGACTTTTTTTTGTCCACATCTGTGAATTTGTTTTGTTTATTTCGAAAAAAAAAAAACACTAAATAAAATTTACAGTTCGTTATTCATAATTTTGAATGTGTTAAATTTATTCAATTATTTAACAAGAAAAATCTCAAGTTGATGATAAAATTACCGCATAAGATTTGTTGATTTATTTCAGATGATTCATTATAAAATGTCTCTAATTTGTATTTAGATACATTGTATTTATTTTTGGAGGCACGGTGGAGTAATGTATAGCGGCTCGGATTCGAATCAGAGAGCCGAGTTCGAATTCCAGTCAAATCCATTACATTCACTTACGTACTAATACCGTTGGAAAAGGTAATAATCCTCTTCTTCTCCCCCACCTGCTATGGCTAAATAGCAGAACAGACCCGGTTCTTGGATGGCAATTGTTCTACCGCAGAAAGTAATGGTAACCTACTTTGGGGGAAAAATCTGCCTCGTCAGTCATGTATCGAAAGCTATATGATTGCCTAAGCGTGTATCACGCATGGCACATAACTGACTGACCCTTGGGAAAGGTATGAATCCTCTTCTTCTCCCCCAGAGAATAGCAGGACAGACCGGGTTCGGAAACTTTGATGTGGGATTTCGATGAACTTTTTTTTTTCTTTTGATAGATAATTCCTCAGTACCGGTTTTGAGTACAAATTGGCTGGAAAAAAATTACAACCTTGTAGGTGAAAAATCTAAAAAAAAAAATTGCTTTTTTACACTTTGCGCAAAATCAAAGGAAAAATTTACTTTTTTACACATAACCTTGCAATCCTAGCGCATTCTGTGTGAGCGTGATTCACACCTCCACACGTTGCCCATCGGTTGCTGCTGATCTTAATAATTAGCGCCTGCAGCAACGCATGTACGTGTGGTCCTGCAACACGCGCTGTCACGCGATCTCTCACGCGCTGATGCACGCGCATACGCATGACCTGCGGAACGCGACACCCGTTCCAGTTGCCCGTTCCAGTTGCCCGTTGGCTGCACAAAGCCCCTTTACACCTCCAATCAAATGTCGCCGTGTCATACTGATTGTCTACGCAGTCCTAAGCTCACTGCTACAGCTTGATTTCGCTTCTACTTCTGTACGTCCAGCCCTGCTTACACATTCCCCTCCTCTTGGCTAATATTAGGTCTCTCTCAAGTGGGATTAACTTTTCCATTGCATAAAGTCTACGACTACAGTTTTAAGATGTTGCTTTCATTGCCTCGGGCGCACAACCGCTGCTGCCAGGTCCGCCATGCGAATAAAAGATAAGAAATCGTCCTTAGGACGTTCAGTTCTTGTGCGCCCGAGGCAAGTTTTTTTTTTTGCTTTGCTGGAATTTCTTAGGCAAGTATGAGTTGTCAAATGGAATGCGTTGGCAAATACCAGAAGAAAACGCTGAAAAGCTATAAGAATCTCTAAGCTCGAATAACTTTAGAAATGGTTGGAAAAATAAATGTTGAGTAATAAAAAAGCAAGCTTTCCTATTACAACGGTGAATGCAATGCCTGTCTCAAAATGCCTCTCGGAATGTTTCTGTCAGAGTTCCAAGATCAACAGAGGCCATCGGCGTTCCAGAAGAGCATACCTGATCGCTTCAGCACGCGAGGCGGAAAATGATGATCAAACGGCTGAAAAGAAACCCTCTTCAGCTGCTGCTGCTGCTGCGCATGAGGCTGAAACAAAACTGAGAACGCAAAAACGGTCCTTTTCAAGGCAACCCCCAGTTAAATTGGGGATGTACCTCAGTTGCGTCTAATTATTGTTACTAATATTGATTTTCAGGTGGGCTGACTTTAAACTTAAACAGCTCCAATTGAATGGAAAAAATTCCCAGTAATGAAAGACCCGATGGAAGACAGGTTATACTACTAGTAATATAGCAAAAATATAAGTCCCCTTTGAAACAAATGAAGGTCTTATTTGATGACACAATGATTTAGTAATAATGTGCTTGTACCATGCATCTTGTCCATATAAAATTTGTAAAACTTCTGAAAATTATAAATTGATAAGGGTCTCACTGATCGCAGGAATTAAATTGCAACGCTACGATGTTTAACCTAAACTTAAACCTCAAACGACGGTAACGATTTTGGGAAAAGAGTATCGTGTAGTTTATGTCAAACACCAAGTTTCAAATTGAACGTTATATAACGGTTCCCAAGTTCTACTGTAGAGTATTTCTTTGATTATCAGTACGAGAAATGAAGAGAAATTTAAATCATCCGCATTTTTAAAAAAAAATATCCCGAACTAGTATTTCTAGATTAGGAGCCCTCAACGCATATATAAATACAGTTTTAAAGTATTCTATATGCCCGGTATAAAGTGCATAATATCAGAGATAGAGCGTATGTAAATATTTGTTTCCAGGGTTCTTCATTTACTCCTATGTATATTTTTTTCTTCGTCATCTGATGATTTTACCGTGGCTTGGTATATTACATTGTTTTGTAAGCAAATATCGTTTAAGGGTCATTCGTTCTTTATTCACAATTTAGTGGGTTTAATTTTCTCGGGTGGTTTCTTGCTAGTTTTCCTGTTATGCTTTTTTTGTGTGTCATGTTTTCGGTGCAACTGTAGCTGATTTTTTACTATGTTTTTGTTGAATAGTTTCTGGAGTGTTTGATTCGGAGAAGTGTGTGTGTAAGAGTTTCATGAATATTTTTCCTACGTTCGTTTTTAAGTTTCTCTTGTTTGGTGGGTCGAACCATATGACGTTTCTCTTCCTGGCGGCTTTCCTTTTCTTCTGGTGTATATGTGAGTGTTGCCAAGAACCACTATCTTTAAGGGCTGTTTCAGAGTCTTTCTTAGCTTTGTTAAATGTCGTTTCATTTGAAAAATTGTCGAAAAGACTGCGGTTAATTGATTAGGGTATCTGCTTGATTATAGATGGTGGGTGATTGGAAGATGTTTGTGTATATATATAGTGGTTTATATATACTTACTTTTTTAGATGAAGGTGACGTCCAGAAAGCCTCCTTCGGTTAGGTTATTTTTATGTCGATGTTGAATCCCATATCTTTTTTTTAATATAATTATTATTGCTTTTCTAGTTTTGTCTTTGTTACAGTGGCCCTGTATCATTTCTATATTATTTTATATATATATATATATATATATGTATATATAAAATACGAATTATGAGTTCGCAGATCCATGCACCGTCAAAATATCCCTTTTTTTTTTTATCCCTGCGTCTTCATTGCCGAATAGACGTGATTTACGGAGTGTTTAATGATATTGAGTTTGGTTGCGTTTATTATTTGTCATTGAGCTACTATAGTTTTAGAGTGTTTATTCCTAACTTAGCTCTGAATTAATTCTTTCTAGTACCATTTTATTTTCCGTCGTTCACGAGTCTACATGTTTTTGAAGTTTCCTATGTCGTCTTTTAGTGCGATAAGGGCTTCCGCTTTAGCGATGCAATTTATTCTAGGTCTAATTTTTGGCGATTGTTTTAGCAATTTGTCGATTGTTTGCCATCTTCCATTGATTTGTGCTTTGTTTTGTTTATGTTGTCCTTGATTAATTTATTGTGTGTAGGGTTAGGGATTCTAGTGCATATCTATTTCTAGTTTTGTCCGCTGAGATAAATAAGTGCGTTGAATTATTTATTTCACTTATATTTTTTTTCATAGCGTATGTGTGTGTGTGTGTGGGGGGGGGGGTAAATCTGGTTTTAATTTCATTAAAAAAATAAATAAATATGTTTCTGACTAAGTTAAGTATTTTTTTTAAGTCATTTAGTTCTTTGTTACGGAGGGGGGGGACACATTTTGGTTTTAGCCGTACTTCCCACTCCCCCTTGAGTTGAGTATTGTAGAGTTTCTGGTATTAAAAAAAAAAAAAAGAATGCTTGCCACCTTATTCTTTCAATTAATTTTAGCTTATATGTATATGGGGATGAAAATTTATGTATTTTTTTTTTTAAAAAAGGAGTGCTTAAGTCTAAACTTTTCTATACCCATAATGTCTTATAAATGTAGCGAAAGTGCGGTACTGTTTATCAGGAAGTAAATAAACAGTCTTAGTTATTTTATGGGATAAAGTGCTCAATATCTGAGAGAGCATATGTCAATATGAAAGTGAACAACCAACGAAAAAAAAAAAAAAAAAAAAAAAAAAAAACCCAACAACAAAAAACAACCAAAAAACACGTCGACCGTTGTACCTTCCGGCTTTCCTGATTTTGTTGAAATCACTACCAGGCCCAAATATTGAACACACAACTGCCACAGGACCAAGCACACTTTAACCAAGTGAGAAACTTGCGTTAGTCCTTATTTTCAACAGTTTGGTCTATCATTTATACTGAAGCTAAAGAGTTTTTTTTTTTTTTTTTCCGGCAAAACGCGTCTTGAATAAAGTTTTCAACCGTTATCTTCATTTGTTTCGATTACTATTATACATTCAACAAAACACAGCAAATAAGGTAAGAAGGTACAAATTTAACGAAAAGGATTGCTCAAATGTTTTCTTTCGTGCGCCTTATGAACAAGGCAAGATAACCAAATTATAGAAATTGTAAAAAAAAAAAAAAAAAATTTAGGAGAGTTTTTCAAATGAAAAATCTTGAGCCGATACGTAAACTTAAAGAGTTTAAAAAAAAAAAGAAAAAAAAAGAAAAAAAAACTAGAGTCCCCCTCCACTTGAGTCTCCGAGAAAATTTACAAGGTTTTAATGTTTATTTTTAAAGTTACCTTTTCGTGGTCGGCCTAAAGCTTTGTTCTTCAGTTTTTAAGATGACGACACCTTTCTGACCTTTGCTCTGCTGGTGACTTCACACAGCGAAGCATAAAGTCCTTCAGTAGCCAGCCAGCGTACTTAATGTAAAATGTAAATCCATCATGCTCATTGTCCTATGTTCTAATAAATGTTCGAGTGACGTTGGGTGGGGGAGGATGAGTTTCAACTAATTTTTACCAGGGTATAAGCAAAAATATTTGGACAAAAAAAAAAAAAAAAATCCAACATTACACTTTGACAGTTATGTCTGGTGCTCGTTATTCGAGCCAAAAATAAATAAAAAATAAATAAAAAAAATGAAAGTATTTTTAACAAACTGGTTTTTATTTTTGATTAGGTATTATTTTTTAATAAACAAAAACATGAGGCCATTTTCATATAGCCCATATTTATATATATATATATATATATATATATATATATATATATATATATATGAAGGTTCCTTAGGATGACAGTCTTTGCAATTGATTCCGCAAAACGGAAATTATTTTTGACAGTATAGTGCAAGCTAGACTGAGAGTTTTAAGTTTATGTACGTGTTTTTTTTAGAAATTTAGTTCAACAATTAACACATGCCGTATAGATTCCAATATTTTATTAAAGTTTATGATGAAATGATGTTTTAAAATCCAATATGCTAACTTGTCTATATAAAAAAAATCGAAGTTTGAAAGAAAGCAAAAGAAAGACAAAATCGTTATCATCCAACAATAGTAAAAAAAAAAAAAAAAAAAAAAAAAAAATTAACGTTAACGATTTAACAATTTTAAATAACGTGTAATACACATAATTGACCGCACTGTTTGCACTTTTAAGAGCTAGTTTTATCCTTATCAGAATATTAACTTGTAAGACAGTTAATTGCAACTTGATTTGTCGTAATAAATTTTAAGTGTTAAAAAAAATCATACAACCGACTACTTCAAAAAGGTCTCTAGACCTAAGAACAAATGCAGCTTCGAGTAGCAGTTTGTGTGACCAACTATGTCACAGCATCTTAAGCATTATAAAGATACACACCAGGAGGGGGCGGGTGGTATCTAGAGTTTGTTCAGATTCCAAAGAGTGAAGAAGAGTTTGGAGAAAGTTGGCTAGACTAATTCCAGAAGAGAGATAACGTATCGATGGGAGTTATTTTGGATTGAGGGGGAGAATTTAGATCGACCCTTTTAATGATAGCTGCCATGTATATATTTGTCCAATACAAAAAGGAAATTTTAATATAATTTTTAAAAACAATTAAACAATGTTTTGCGTGGATAGATCGCGTCTATTAATGAAGCCTTAAACCCCTCACCTCACCCTCAGCAATCACAGACCGTTCGAATATTGAGACTAGGTTGGACCGGCACATCTTCGTTTGGATAGACTAGTACAGTGGCGCAA